CCAGGAGGCATAATAAGCAATTGCCACCTGGAGCAGGAGCTTGCAGGACATGTTGTAATACTTCACAATCACTCCCACAGTCCTGCTTACGTGCAGCGGCACAAAGCAGATGATGAAGATAGCCAGTGACACCATTACCAGCTGCAAGGACTTTGTTTTCATCACCCTGCCCCGGAGACTCGTACTGCTCATTTTCATAATGATCGCTCCCAGCAAGGCGTAGCAGATCAAGGAGATGCCAAAGGGGAGGAGGAAGGAGATGGTCACCAAGAAGATACTGTAGTACAGGTAAACAGAGGAGAACTCTGACTGATGGATGCTCAGACACTTCACGGTGCCATTGAGTACCGAAGTCTTGAGGACAAAGAAAAGGGGCAGCCCTTGGATGCATAGGACAAACCATACGAACAAGCTGAGCTTCTTCAGGAAGGACTTCTTCTTCCAGAGGGTCCTGGTGCTGTAATGAGCAACTGCGAGGTACCTGTGGATGCTGATGAGCGTCAGGAAGTAGATGCTGCCATACAGGTGGGTGCTAAGAATGAAGATTTTGAGCTGGCAGAGGAACTGACCAAAGAGCCAGCTGTTGCCCAGGCTGAAGTAGGTAACCATCAGAGGCACAATGGGAATAAGGAGGGTGTCCATTAAGACTAGGTTGAACTGGAGGATCAGGCTGGAATTCCACCGCTTGATATGAAACCAGAATATCCACAGGCTGGTGCTGTTCAGAACAAGACAGGCCACAAAGAGAATGCTCAGCAGGATGGGGATGATCACGGGCAGCACCTGTGGCTTACACTCCGTGCTGGTGCTGGTGCTGGGATACCCGCTGGTGGCTTGAACGCTCTGGGAAGAAGCCTCCATACTTGTCTGACCTGCAGGAGAAGAGGCAAGAAAGGGAAAGGGCTGAAACCCACCGGGCCCGTCTTCTCTCTTTGGGGGCAAATTTTAGAACAGTGCAGGGAGGTGTGGCAGAAGCAGGTCTGCAGCATGGTTACGGAGTCCTGCAAGGGCACCACGCTAGGAGTCTCTTGGACCAACGGCATCGGCCAAGCCTATGGCATTTACCCAACCAAGGAATGCGACACAGGCCAAATTCAGCCCTTCATAAGCAAATGCAAACCCAAGAAAACGAAAGCTCTGAGCCCGCTTACCCCAGGCTTGAATTTTCCCAGAGTGTCAGAAAATTCCCAGCTTGCTGGAGGCACCATGAGCCTACCTGGTGGAGGGGCAGCGGAGGGACGCTTATGCGCAGCCTCTTGAAGGGAAGATCCTGTGTTCTTTGGTTGAGGGAGGGCAGAGAGGTGATGGGCTCCCCAGGCCTTTTCTGGTGTTAACCTCTCCACTGCCAAAGCCCTGCAGCACAGCTCCCTTTCTTCCTGCCAACAAGGACTAGACAGGATTTCCCTTTGGGATCCCAGAATGCTGCTCTTTAAATTAGATTCCTCAGGGCAGGCCACGGAGCTGGGACTGGGCGGCCACATGTCATGGGACTTGGTTAAGTTGATTGACCTCCACCCGGACCCACTCAAGCGAAGCCCTCAGCCCCTCTGACGGGCTGTTTACAGCCCAGTTTTCAAGCATGGGCGGCTAATGCTGGGGATGTGCCTCATGGGCAGTGTATGAACCTCCCCTTTGGGAAAGCCCCACCCCTTCCACCGGAGGCCCTACCAGAGTGCTGAGGGCCCCTCTCCACCATGGCCAGAGGCGCCCTGACCGAACTACCCCAAGCCACTAGCCAGCCCCACTGCTAGGTTGCTGATCCCTGAGCTCCTACCTGCTTGGGGGAGAGGATGGGGCAAAGGTGGGACCAGGGCTTGGCCTAGGGGAGCTTTACCTCCCCATGCCTATTATACCCACCGCCCTTGATGTACGTCCATATTAAAGCCCTAACCAGCCATTTCAGGCTCTCCAATCTGTGTTTAGGTGCACGTACGTTGGTGTACTGTTAGATATTTTGCAGGCAAATATAGGCACCCTGCAACATCAGCCACTGCTCAGCTTTTGAAGCTTGAGTTGTTCCCCCAAAGTACCCAAGAGTTCAATCACTTTTTGCACCAAATGCTACAGCAGGCAGCATGCTCCTCCCTACCCCCATCAGTCACTTAAAACCCTACACTAGGAGTGGCCAACCCGTTAAAGGCAAAGAGCCATAATAGCTGGGGATAGAACATGAAGAGCCGTGGGTAAAAAAAGTTGTTGAGAAAAAGAAAAAAAAAAGGATGCTGTGCCTTTAAACACAACTCCGGGGCTTTTTGGCCACATCAGGCGCCCATCGGCTGGTGCCATCTTACTTTGTCATACTGGGTGGTGAGCACAGGGAAATGAGGGCTGGGGGCTGTTTTTAAGGGGCCAGGGGCAGCTTCATGAGCCGCACTTGTAGGGGGGGAAGAGCCGCATGCGGCTCATGTTTGTCCACCCCTGCCCTACACGGACCCTGAAAGGAACCGCGTGTCAGACGGCCCATCAGGCACCATCAGCACTTCACTGCCTCTGGATCTATTCACCCTGCGTCCATAGTGCAGCTTATAAGACTTTTGTAGGATTCTTCTCTGGAGACCACATCCAGCGTGACACTCGCCACATGACGCCAGCGGGCAGCTGGGTGTGGCTGCAGGGGAGCACCGTGTGGGAGGAAGTGAGTTGAGCGTGTTCGTTGTTCTCCCCCCCCCCCCCATGGAGATATTCTTAGACCATCAGCAGTTTCATTCTCTGATGGTTTATGGGGCAGACAGAAACCTGCAATTTAATTGCATCTCACGCTTCCCTTCAGGGCCACTGAGTGACTTTATACTCGGGCTCACAGAAGAACTGGCTGAGGGATTTGTGAGCGGTTTGGAGGGGAATGTTATCTGCGTCAGTAGCACAGCAGACTGAGAATCAGCCAACTTAGTTTCAAGTCCTCAGTTTTCCACAAGTCCTGAGACACTTTGGATCACTTTAACCACTCTGTGCCTCAGTTTCTCCCTCTCTAATATCTTACTTATTACCCAGACCAGGGGCTGGCTGCAACTTAATTATCAATTGAAAAATGCTGAGGAGGCACAGGTGAGGTGTGTTACTGTGACACCATTGCAAAGTGTTATCAGGGGTCTGTTCGCTTGTGATGCACATTCTGCTCCTTGCTACTCGGTGTTACAAAGTAAATTCCTTCCACTCCAAGCTGCCTCCCGCCAGGGTCCTCCAAACCAGGCAGCCCACAGGGCGTTCCAAAGTAAGTTCAAGACAAAAGGTGTCAGGAGCCTCCTATTGCAGGTGGCAGAGACACTGACTTCAAAGCCATGGACACGGGTGGAGCGGATTCTCTTTCCTCTCCAAAGCAGAAGTTTTGTTGGCGCAAAGAATGGCCCCGGATTTTAGACTGGCAGCTATCCATGGTCCACAGATAAAACACTGGGCTTCATTTTCCTCCCATTGGGATACATCAGACAAGATTTACAAAATCAGGGTGCGATCTGGATGGGGCTGACTAGCTCAAGAACTGGGCCCCGTTCAGAGCCAGCTCCCTTGGAGCTGATCCTGCTCTTCAGGGACGTTTTCAGTATCAAACTCTGCATGAATAGGCACCAGAATCAGAACAAGGGCTTAAATCTCCTCTTGCATATTGTTGGGAGGCACAAAGAAACATGGCAGGAGTTACCTAGTCACCTGAAAGCCCCTTTAAACTAGCGCAACACGCCAGGAAATTCTCTTGATCTTGAAATGGAACGATGCAAGCCGTAAACCACATGCTTTGCAGTTACTGCAGGGCCAGATTCTGTTCTCCGCCCCAGCAGTGTAAACAGAATTACTCCGGACGGACACCAGAGGAGCTGAGAACAGAATCTGACCTGGAGTCTCTGCATAAAGCAATAATTTGGTGCTTTCTATCTGGGTTAAAACTCTCCCCTCTTTGGCTTTCATGCAGTCTTGTTGATTTCAGGGAGGTAGTTGCCCCGTACGAACTGAACAGTGAGTTTGGTAGTTGTCTCCTGTGCACATAAAACCCTAGCACATAATAAACAGGTGGGAACAAGTCATCTGGGGACTTACCCTGCTTCTCGGCGAGAGGGGATGTGGAGCTGTTCTTCATCAGCCGCCCTGAAGCCTTCCCAGCAGGAAGCCACATGGCTACTAGCTCCTTCCAACTTGCAGACAGAGGCAGAGCTGAGGGGAGGGAAGCGGCTTCAGCAACTCTCGGGAGGAAGAGACAGTTCAGCAATGACACTGCTGCAGTTTCTGTCAGCACAAGAAGTGGGTGGCGTGGTGTTCCAGGTACAGCTTGACTCCTTGCCCTGGGGCTTGTGAGCACCCAGCCAGCCCCCCTGCAGCGTGAGTGCCTCCAAATATGAACATTTGGTCCCATATGAAGAGAGATTAAAAAGACTTGGACTTTTCAGCTTAGAAAAGAGGAGACTAAGAGGGGATATGACAGAGGTCTATAAAATCATGACTGGTGTGGAAAAAGTGAATAAGGAAAAGTTATTTACTTATTCCCACAATATAAGAACTAGGGGTCAGCAAATGAAATGAACAGGCAGCAGGTTTAAAAGGAAGCTTTTCTTCACTCAGTGCACAGTCAATCTATGGAACTCCTTGCCAGAGGATGTGGTGAAGGCTAGGACTTTAACAGGGTTCAAAAAAAAGCTAGATAGATTCATGGAAGTTAGGTCCATCAATGGTTATTAGCAGGGCTCGACAAACTGCGGCAAGAGTTACTCGCCAGTCCCGCATCGCGCATGCGCCAGTGAATTGGGTGCACGGAGCAACCGGCTGAGATCTATTCGCCACGGACAAGTAGAAACGGCGGTTTGTCGAGCCCTGGTTATTAGCCAGGATGGGTAGGAATGGTGTCCCCAGCCTCTGGGGATCACGTGAGGATTCCCTGTTGTGCTTCCTTCTTCAGGGGCATCTGGCATTGGCCACTGTCGGCAGACAGGATACTGAGCTGGATGGACTGTTGGTCTGACCAGGTCTGGCCGTTCCTATGTACTTATGAATCTGCGGGGCTTGCGGGCAGCCAACTCCTTCCCCCGAACTAGACCAGCATGGGCGAGGAGAACCACAGCCCGTGCACAGGTGGAACTGGACCCCTCAGAAAAGGGTCAGGCTCGGGGATGAGGGTGCTGTGAGTGCCAGCGCAGCTCTCGCTAGCGTTCCCCTCTCCCACAATATGCACCAACCCAACGTGAAAGGTCAGAGCGAGTACAGACTCAGCCAAGGGCTGGCAGGGAGAGGGTTAACACTGTCTGGTCCCCAGAGAGGAAGTCGTCTGGTTAAACTTCAAATCCAATCTGTTTCCTCCTCCGACCATCTAGACCTGCCCCTAAATCAGGTGGTGTCTGAAGAAAGCCCAAGCAGCTGTGAGGCATGAGAAACTCTTTTTGCACACACGCCAAGGAGGAATTATTTAAGCTCAATACCAATGTGGACACAAGAACAAATGGATATAAGCTGGCTAGTAGGAAGTTTAGACTTGAGATTAGACGAAGGTTTCTAATCATTAGAGGAGTGAGGTTCTGGAACGGCCTTCCAAGGGAAGTAGTGGGGGCAAAAGATCTATCTGGTTTCAAGATTACACTAGATGGGTTTATGAAGGGGATGGTTTGATGAGATAACATGATCTTGGTAACTAATTGACCATTCATTATCAGTTGGAAATAGGTCAATGGAGGGATGATAGGAGTTACTATAGAGAACTTTCTGGGTGTCTGGCTGGTGAGTCTTGCCCACATGCTCAGGGTTTAGCTGATCGCCATATTTGGGGTCGGGAAGGAATTTTCCTCCAGGGTAGATTGGCAGAGGCCCTGGAGGTTTTTCGCCTTCCTCTGTAGCATGGGGTACAGATCACAGCTGGAGGATTCTCTGCATCTTGGGGTCTTCAAAGTATTTGAAGGCTTCAATATCTGAGATATAGGTGAGAGGATTATTCTAGGAGGGGGTGGGTGAGATTCTGTGGCCTGCACTGTGCAGGGGGTCAGATTAGATGATCATAATGGTCCCTTCTGACCTTAAAATCTATGAGTCTATGAGCCTTTCTTACTAATAATCAAAGGGGCTGGGCCGTGGAGTCCTGATCCAAAGCCCGTCCACCTCTGAAAGATGCTCACACCAGCCCTAGGGGGGAAAAAGGGATGAAGAGAGAGATTGGTCCAGGCTGGATGAGCCAGGAATTTACTCATCCAGGTCACCGCTTCCCCTGATATCCTTGGCGCTGAGCGGTGCGCCAGATCTGTATAATCCTAGGGATAATCCATGGCCTTTCCACAGTCCGAAAGGGGAAGATGCCACACTCCAAAAGGGGAAGATGCCACACTCCGCAATGCCACAGAGAACAATTTCAACCCCCCTTTCTACTTTGGCATCCAGATGATCGACTCCTCCTAAAGGATCATTCACAAATATTTTCTGGGGACTCAGGAATTCATTTTTATTCTCCTTGTCTACGGTGCACCTCCACCACCACCTGATTTAGGGGAATGTGCAGAGAGTCTGAGGAAACTGGTTGGGTTTGAGATTGAACAAGATGACTTCCTCAGTGAGGTCCAGCGCTGTGCCAAGTTTGTCATGTTTAACTTCAGCCATTTTTCAGTTGGTGCAAAAAAGTCTTGCCAAAATGGCAGAAAAAGTGACCTGTTGAAAAAAAAAAACCAACCCACCCGTCCCCTCCTTTCCATTTTATACAACTTGAAAATAGGTAAATAGATTTTGCTCATGCTTTCAAAGAACACTCACCTGTGCACTGAGACATAAGAATAGTCATACTGGGTCAGACCCAAGGCCTAGTCTGTCTCCCGACAGTGCCCCACGGGGAATGAACAGAACAGGGAATCATCAAGTGATCCCTCCCCTGTCACCCATTCCTAGCTTCTGACAAAATACTTTTTATACACTGCATGATTAACCTGTGGAACTCACTGCTACAAGATATCACTGAGGGCAAGAGTTTAGCATGAATCACAAAACATCCCTGGTTAGGATTAAAAATGCATAAAGGGTAACCTTCATGCTTCCAGGTATAAGCGAATCACTGACTATCTGGGGTTAGGTAGACGGTTCCTTTGTGGGCAGGTTATTGCATAACCGTCCACTACTTGGTTTCTTGGCATTCCCCTAACACACCTGGCACTGGCCAGCGTTGGAGACAATGCACTCGACTAGATGGATGCTGATCTGACCTAGCCTGGCAGCTCCAGTGTTCCTCTGAAAAGTTTCAGCCCAAAGTGGGAAGTTTCTGTGAAATGTAGCAGTGGGTAACAGCATAGTGATCGTATCGACTGTGGGACATTATATCACTTTTCCTAGCACTCAGCAAACTACACACAATTGCTTCTTTTATAGAGAGCTTTAAGCTCCACTGATAAAAAGTGCTCCCATTAGACCCTGGCATTATAATTATTATTATGTCCCTACAGGTGCATTTGGAACAAGGATTTCAGATCATAAACCAGTACAGTCCTGGTATTTGGCACTTCGGGAGGGGGCCAGCTGTTCTCAAAAGCCATGGAGTTCCTTGTAGCTGGGGCTTAATTTACAATTCCATAGTTCAGCTCTTTGGTTTTCTATGCTGGAAAACCACAGGCGTCTTAATGCAGTCGCTGAGGCTGGTTTGTGTCTGTTTGCATCGGTTCCAGCTCTCAGCTTCTCATCCGAGGCTCCGTGCAAAGGCCCGGCTCCTGTAGCACAGCCCACGAGAAGCAGAAGCGGGCCCTGTCGCAGGGCTATGGCTTTGATAGTGCTAGCGTGTGGTGGCTTTCACTTTCTTTTTTTAAACTTTGTATTCTTTTTATATAACTGACCAGTGCAGAATGACACCGCGCATAAATACATGCCCAAGGTAGAAATAGCAGGTAGAGAACGGGTGGTGGGTGGGTGGGAGCTGGGGGTGGGGGTGGGGGTGGGGTTGGGAGAAGAAACCAAACCAAATGAGCAAACCAGCTATCCCCCTGCCCCCAGAACCCATAGAGTTCATGCCAGGCATCAATTGTTAACAGGGCTAAATAGACAAATAAGCAAGACTAGAATTGTAGCCTCACTCATGGTTTGTGTCATGGGGAAAATGGAATCGGTGACATCCGGGGAGACCTCAGTGATATTTGTTTCCCCTGGGGCTGGAGCCATTCAACAACTCTCAGCAGCTGCTGGTGGGGGGGGCCCAGAGAGGGGC